TAAGAAATGACTTCTGCCACCGTTGTACTCCAAATACTCCAAAAGCCGTTCTTCTCTTGAACACTTTCGGTTGTTTCTTGTGTATTTTGGTATCCTGCTATTTTATTCATTTAAAATAAAGCACAAATTTTTCTTCTCGAGCAATCGAAAAGGGTATCATTCATTTTATTAAAAATGAACTTAAGGACTATATCCAAATTTTAAATTATTTTTATGAACATTTAGTAGAAATGTTCATTTTTTAGGATCCAAGGGGGTTTCTCGTATTATATTCATTTAATCATTATTACTTCATTTTTTAATATTTAGATTGATCGATGTTAAAATTAAAAAAAAAAAACTATTCTCAATGCTCATCTGGTACTGCCCCTAGATTCTCAGAAAAAAAAATTAAAATAAATAATATTGGAGAAAATAGAGTCTTAGCGACATGTTTAATCCCGTTAATTGCTAGGCTGAGGGTCGTTCACGTGTTTCTCTTATTTCTCATTGTTCCCGAGATAATAGTTGCAAATGTTTTCAAATGCATTCTACTCTGGTTTCTTATGTCATTTATAGTAGGCCTTAAGTTGGCACATCGAACTGTTCGTCTATCAGTTCAACGAAAATTCCTTCTTTGAGTTTTTCATCTCACGGGGATATATCTGTTTCAAATATATTAAAGCAACCCCTTAAGGGGATACTTTGAATTCCGAACCCGAACCGAGAGTGTAACTTTGAGGGCCCTGGGGAACGGATAATGAGATATCATGGGACGTAGGTCGGATTGCAGTGGGAGTATTGGCATGATGGATGGTAGAGCTTGGTTTCGATGGTAATTCCTTTCATATTCGTCGTGAAAAAATAACGGTTATACATATAACTTTCTCAGATACAACTCCATTAACCGAATAGGTACAAGCACCAATAGCTGACTCAACTGATATCCACCTCGAAAAATGGGAATAATAATATTTCAAGACCTGGTAGACATCTATTTCACGAATTTGTGGCTTCTGCATTTTCTCCTCGTATATTTCTCTGCTTTGCTTTAACCTTGTCGGGAACCGTTACCAAAATAATGGGTGGCATATTAGGAAGTTCCCTTATGGTCCACTTTGTGTCTAGTGTTGCCCAAATGCGTGACCGAGATGTCTTGGTCTTGCGCAAGAGTCTCGCAACAGTCTTGCAGTTACTTATTAACTTATTACTATAGAGATATTACTGAATTTTTTTAGATAGGGGAAACCTAACTAAGCCCGAATGTAAAATTCGTCTGTACACGAATGCAATCAGCATTATTTATTTATTTGGTAGTTCATACATAGTTAATATATTTTTCGAAGTAACAAAACTCCAGACCTTTCTCAATTTCCAATTCAATTTGGTGCTACCTTCACCATCGTAACGTTTTATCTTGGATATTGGAATCCAAGAATCATATAAAAAAAAAAAAAAAAAAGAAAACATACTAATATTAAGTTATAATATACTGAGCATTGCATTTACATACAAAAAGCAGCTGCGTCGATAAAAGTATAAAAGAAAAATATACATACATAAAATACACACTATATATAAAGTAATTTTAAAAACCACGGAGGTAGCAATCCCTCCGCAATATAAGTCATAAAAAAGTAGTACTATAGTACATAACTAAATAAATAAAAAAAAAAATAAATAAAATAAAATAAATAAAAAAAAATAATAAAAAAATAAATAAATAAAAAGTAAATAAATAAACATAAAATTAAACAAATAAAAATTAAATAAATAAATAGATAAATAAAAAAAAAATAAAGATAAATAATACAAAACGTAAAAATGTAAATTATGACATCGATATAATCATTGAGTATCATGCTATAAACGAGGAAGCAGCCTGAACCAATTACTGTAATTCATGTGGGACCCTTTAAGGACTCTTATTGTAATAGCGTTCATCGTTCTCTTAGGAATTCCCAACATATCCATGTCTTGGAAAGATCTTCGGCACCATATTCCTCTCCAAGTTATTGTGAGCGGCAGTACTTTTATGTCCACGCCTGGCACTCCCAGTGTACGCCCGATCGCATCCTGCAATCTGGGTCCCTATATTTATTGGCTTTGACATTGTTCTAGTGAGTGGTGCTAGGGTTATCCCCGACGACCTGTGCATCTATAATGAAGTGTCCGCTTAGTCCCGAGCACACCAGGTCTGGCTTCCACCTTCGTCTATTACCAACAAACATTTGCTCCTTTGTGACCCTGTATCCTTTCTTTTGGAGAGCAATTTCCAACATGTTCACTATTGTATCATGCCGGCGCACTCTACCACCGTGAGACAAAATGCAATGTTGAATAATATGGCTGGCAGTTTCGCTTGCAGGACACCCAGCTCTGCATTGGGTCGGCATAAAAGCCCTACGTCCTCTGGATAATCTCACTCGGGTTGCGAGGGCATTTATATGAGTTCTTACCGTCTGTATGAAGGTCCGTCCGGTTATCGGAGCCGCGTAGTCTGTCAACCAATGAGTTGATGGGTGGCAGTTTTTTGACTCCCTTAATGCCTTACCATCAACGCTACGATATAACTTCATGGACAGCGTTTTCTTCCGTTCTTCACTGGAAGTGTTTTCCGCGTTGAGGCCCATTTTCGTGAGGTTGCTTGTGATTTTCTCATTTCCTTAGTAATAAAGGAGGAATGATAGGCGGCTCTTGCTACTGGGCAACCAGAGTACTCCATACGTCGTAACCTCGCGAGCTTGAGTGAGGGTATAGCACTGCTAAAGCTCATTACTCCCAAACCACCATCAGTACAAGCAGAGTGGAAATACTGAGTAGGGGTATCCTGAGGCAGTCGCAGCCAGGAACGTATTGCCGCTCTCGTTGAGATATCAAACTTTCTCAACTCGTTCATTTTGCTTGGGCTCAGTGTAAGGAGATGAATGAATTTCGGGATGAGATAAGTTCTCAAAGTCACTAATTTTTGTTGAGGTTTTAGGGGTGCAGTGTTTGTTTTGTGCAGCAATAATGATAATTCATCGATAATCCCTTCGGCATTCATGTTGTTCAACGAAAATTTCGCTCCTAGGTATTTCCAGCAATCCAAGATACCTAACTGCTTGATTCTAGCGCCATTTACTACGAAATAATATTTGTTATCAACCTTCATAACATTAGAATTGACGGCCTTGACGAGAGAAAAGCTAAAGCATTTGGCTGGGTTGGATTCCATTCCCAGATCTTGAATAGCTGCAGCTGCGTCCGATAGTAATCTTTTCATGCCTTTTGATGAGGATGTGATTAAAACTAGGTTGTCTGCAAATGCCAGGCAGTTTACCATTGTTCCTCCCATATCGTAGCCTATTCCATCTGGAAGGGAATGGATTACCCAATCCATTGCCATGTTAAAGAGACTAGGGGATAATGGGTCACCCTGCCTTATACCTCTTCCGCATACAATAGGATCCGTATGCTGCTTTTTGTCTGTAATGCGGGTATAACATTTGCTATATAGCCCCTTCATGTAACCAATAAGTCCAGCTGGCATACCCTTCCATTCTAAGATTCTATAAAGTGCATTATGGCTCACATTATCAAAAGCTTTGGCAATATCCATAAACATTACATGGATTTTCTTCTTTCTCATTTTAGAGTCGTCCATTATTGATTGTAATGAGAATATATTTTCTACAGTGCCATCGGAAGCAATAAACGCTCGCTGGTTTACACGATGCAAATCCATTTCGTTTAGACGAGTTGCAATTATCTTGTGCATTTGTCTAAGAGGGACTGAAGCAACTATAATGGGTCTATATTAACTAGGACCAGCGGGATCATCCGTTTTCGGAATGAATATAGTCCGGGCCGCAGTTAACTTTAAGTGGGGTGGGTTGGACTATAGAGATATTACTGCATTTTTTTAGATAGGGGAAACCTAACTAAGCCCGAATGTAAAATTCGTCTGTACACGAATGCAATCAGCAGATGCAGCGATGAAATCTACTACCTTACACCACTTCACATACCCTAATAACTAAGTTGTAATTCCCAATCCTAATACTATAATATTTCATGGCAATAATTTCTCAAACATGCCATCTGAAATCATGCCTTCACAGTTAATTATTAAATTCTTTGAATCATGTATATAGTATTACCACTTTAAGATTTCTATGTTATTTGTATATAATTCTTTATTAACCATAGAAATAAATTAAGTTTTTTAGTCAAATTTATTTTAATTCTGCCACCTATTTATATCACGATGATCACAGGTAAAGTTTGTAATTAGAAAGCATGATAAACACAAACCAGCCTTTGAGAAAAGAAATCCAATTAATTAATTCTGGACCAATCAATATATTATCGATCCAAATTTATTTATTTATTTATTAGAGGAGGAGAGGGGGGGAGGAGAGGAGAGCTTTCGGGCTGAAGCCCCCCCCCCCTCCTAAAATGGTAAAATATAACCATGCTTTATGAAAAAAGTTATCTCTAAAAGGATTATTGTTCGTTTAATTACAATTAATAGGACTTAAAGAATCACTTAAGACCATTTCATATAGGTAGTTAGTTTCTTTCTTTCTTCCGAAGTAATTAACCTAATATATTTATACATGTTATGGCTGAAGCCCCCCCCCCCCAAAGTTAAACCCTTGATCCGTGAGTTGGAGCGAACAACGTACTCTTTAAAAAAAATAAACCTTAAATTATGCGTCGAATGAGTACCTAAAAAATGCTTTTAAAGAAGATGACCTTTGCATTTTTCATTTCATGTTACTTGTTTCATATTTACTTGTTGTATTTATCATTTAATGCAGTTGTAAATTTCAATAATACAAAAAAAAAAAAAGTTTTTATCAGTTGGTTTCCAAGATTTTCAGGAATCATTGGAAAATAAAAATGTAATACTGAAAATATATAAACCTATAATAAAAATAGTACCAAAAATTATTTGTAAAAGATTCTTTAAATGGTTGGTGTGAAAAATATTAAATAGGAAAATCTTAGGAGACTATGACGGAGCTTTTTCCCACCTGATATCCATGAAGCGTTATTCTTCCAGAAGAAGGCTCCGGTGGTGATGTTTCTAAGGCTTACTTTGGGAAGAGTGGCCCTAGGTCCCCGGTCAGGAGGGCTTAAAGCTAAAGTGGACACAAGAATAAGTCCCAGGACGAAGAGGATTACCACTAGTGCGATGAGTACGCCTCGCCAATTCCTCTCTACCTCTCCCACTGGAACCAGCTCCTGTAACATTATTCACAATAATAAATAATTCATTCTTCATTCACATTAATAAATAATTCACTCTTCATTCACATCAATAAATAATTTACTCTTCATTCACATCAATAAATAATTCACTCTTCATTCACATTAATAAATAAAAATTTATTACAAGCTGTTAGAAACTTTGAAAATAGTAATCAACCAACTACCGATAGTTTCAAAACTCATGTTAATTAAAAAAATATTATAAAATATTATACAGCATGTATGAAAACCTAATCATATTCCACCTTCTGCTATATTACATGATTACTGGTCCTGGCTTGAGGGTTTAAGAAGCTATTATCTAGTTACTATATATTCCATAAATCACTGAAACTGCATTACTTACTTACTTACTCCATAGCACTACAGCCCTACAAGGGCCTGGGTCTCCTCTACAATCCTATTCCACTTTTCTCTATCCTGGGCGGGTCTCATCCATCCTCCGATTTCCATCTCTCTCAATACTCTCTCAATACCATTTGACCATCTTAATCATGGACGTCCCCAAACTCCTCCTCTTCCAGGCTTACCATCCAGCAACATTTCGGGTATCCTTTTCATTGACATCCACTCTACATGTTCCAGCCACCCCAACTGATTCTTTCTAACAAAGGAAACCAGATCTGGTTCTAGCAGACAGGTCTATTTATTTTTCTGAGTACTTTCCTTTCCCAAACTTTTAACATTTTTTCACTTTCTTTGAAGAGTACTCAAGTCTCACGGCCATAAGACACAACCGGGCTAATGACTGTTTTATATAAGATAAACTTAGCTGTGTTGGTGGGGCCTCTGAATTTTAAGGGTTTTAGAAGAGCATAATAGTACCTGTTTCCAGCAGCTACTCTTGCCTTAATTTCTTCACAATAATAATTGTGACAAGAGCATCCAAATACCTAAACTGGTCAGTCACTGAATAGAAATGAAACTGATGGCATGTCGGTGACACATGATAAGGTGGACATGACAAAAATAAAAAAATTTTATTAGGAGTAGACGCATGCAATTCGCATAATTGAAAAGGACAGGTACATGATTTGTATTTAGACTTGAGAATAGCTCAATAAAGCGAAATAAACATGCTTTTAATTTAGCCGATATTACCACGTCGTCTGCATAGGCTAGATGCTGTGACAGCCTATTATATATATATATATATATATATATATATATATATATATATATGTGTGTGTGTGTATATATATATATATATATATATATGTATATATCGTGCCATTAGGGCTTATCTGAATAGCGCGTACTGTTAAGCTTTACTATTTACAATAATATATATCGGATATCAATAAGAATAAATGAGATAGTCCACAATAAATATAATAACCATCAGTGGTGCCCAGAAGGGGGAGTTGCGCCATCAAAATTTATGAGGGGGGCACATTTTGACGGGGTTTTTAATTTTAGAGGGGGGCACATTTCGACGGGGTTATGAATTTTCAAAATGAAAAGAAATCAAAAAACAAGTGGAAGCATAGAACAGTCCGCAAGATGTGTAATTGTATATAATATACGAATATTTAAATTCTACTTTCGTTTCCACAGTTTTTAAGAAACCTAGAACATAAAAATATCTTGGGAGAGATGGGGGAAGTTTTATGCGCCATCGGCCTTGGGGGGGGGGGATGGACTCCCCTGATAACTATTACATATATGTACATATATATACTCCAAGCCATTTGTTACCTAGTACATAAATCTATCGAAAAATCCTACTGACCATTGTTTTACTTTAAAAAGTACCCTATCCAGTTCCAAAAAAAATCTGTTAAGAACCTCGTAGCTACAAAAATCCTTTTCAATTCGCAAGAAGCTCATAATATTTCCCGATTCGTTCTTTCTAATGGTATACTCCCACTCAACTACTCATTTTTAATCCTTAGTGTTTGGAGGACTATTTACTAAGTATGAGGTAAGACTAAAGATATTTATTTATTGAACAATATAATTCCGTCACTTGGACAATGGTTATAGGGAGGTGAGACCAGATTCACACGACTAAAGAGATTAATAAAATATTTCATAAGTTTATTTATAAGTTGGCTTATATGTGTAGTGTAGAAAAAGAAGAATAAAAACAAAACAACGTGTTTAAAACTGTTAGTAAATATTGAGAATTGAGAGCCAATAATCCAGTAAACCGTAAGTTAGCGAATGTTAGTTCAAATATCATTTATAAATATTGATTATTCAAAGTAGTTTTTAGAGTATAGTCCTAAACAGAGGACGTTTTATTGCCTACTTTCTGATCTGATCTCTCATTGAAAACCGACATGGAACGGAACAAAAATAGTACAAATAAGTTCAATGGAACAGCTTCTAAATATAAAACTCAGTTCACAGTAAATTTATATTCTGAAAGCGAAGAAAGTAATAATGTTAGAATTCTGGTTTACATAAGATGACATTACAAAATAAAATACTTTATAGTTTGCTTAATTGTTTATAATATTTGATATTTCATAGATTTTTGAAGTGGCTTATGGAATTATCTTTGAATTATTTATTTTTTAAACTTGTTTAATCAAATAATAAGACCTGATAAATTTTTAATTTAAAATAAACGTTTTAAAAAAAATAAAATAATTGAAATTTCGATTATATAATTATTCATTTTCTATACAACAATGAACTATTTTTACTTTCATATACTCAATTATATTATATGAAAAATATATATTAATGGAGAACATACCGATTAGTAAATATACATATATACATATACATATTTCAAAATCCTTCCATGGAGTCCAATTAACCAAGATTTGAACCAACAATGTGTGTATGTGAACAGCCTAGCTCAACAAGGACAACTCGTACAAAACTGAAATTATTTATTTGAACCGACAGGCCGGAAATGGTACTTTATACAATAGGTTTCGTACATTTTTACAATTTCTTCGAAAATAGCTCTAATGATTTTTATGAAATAGGAATAAAATTGAATGGTCTTCCTCATTGACATACTCTGACAGGCGAATTTTCAAAATTCCTTCTTCTAAAGTAGCTTTAATTTTGATTATTAGAAATAATGAAAGATCTCTCATTGTTGGTAGTGATACAAAATGGACAAATAAGAAATATGCAAGAATTTATAATTGATTAAAGGAGAAAATTGGAATAGTAGCATGGATGTATAAGGAATATCTTTCTCTTTTTTGTTTTCAACATTACGAGAATCTTTTATTTATTATTAAAGGAAGTTAGTCGACTGTTCTACATATCATGGGTGATAAATATTTAGGACGAAGTCTTTTTTAAAAAAAAATTAGTTTTTTTATTTATGCCACCATTTCAATCCAAACATGTGGGTCATCTTCAGGGCGTGGTTTGAGCACTGAGGGTGTTCAAGTTCAAGTACTGTCGAGTACTAACATGTACCACGCCCTGAAGATGACCCACATGTTTGGGTTAAACGTTGGCATAAATAAAAAATTAAAAACTTTTTTTTTAAAGAAGACTGCGTCCTGAATATTTATCACCCATTTATTTACTCATTTATGTATTTTTCTGTACCTGATCAAGCAGATCTGGGCAAAAACTATTTTAATATTGATAATCGAATAGAGAGAAAAAAATATTTCAAATAAAAGTTACTACCATGTTAGGTTATAATTGGAAGAATTACAACCACGTAGCCTTATGTATCCAAAATTAAGGCAAAAAAAAAAATGAATTAACAAAAAAAAAAGTCTGCGTTTCGATAATTTAGCCACCATCAAGGAAGAAAAGAACAGCAAATCCACTCCATGACACACAATCGCACATGTATGTTCGATTTGCAGTTCTTTTCTGTCCTAATGATTTGCGAATTGGCGAAACGTTGACGTACTTTTTTCTCTTTTTGTCTGAATTTTGAAGATATAAGGCTGTGTGGTTAAAATTCTTCCAATTTTAAACTAACATTTATGTTGAATATTTAATAGCTGACCGTCGCATTATAAAGGAAGGAGATGGTCCGGGGTTGCGGTCATAAAAAGGCTAAATAGTAGTAAAACTATTTTATTGAAAGACTTTCAATAAAATAGTTTTACCACTATTTAGCCTTTTTATGACCGCAACCCCGGACCATCTCCTTCCTTTAACATTTATGCTCTGTCTCTTGGTGAGTTTGTTACTGATTTATATTAATATTACCATTATTGTATTCTTCATTGTAATAGGGTGTATAAAAAAATTGCCCGTTTTATCAAATTTAAGATTTCAAAGGATTGTAAATATTTTAATCCTTACCAATACTTAATAATCCCTTTAGAGCATTCTCTTGTTTAATCCCATTCGACTTCTTCAAAAAAAGCCTCAGTTTAGTTATTTGTTTCAAAGAAGAAAAAGTGTCCTAAGAAATTCTGGTCATTTTAAGGGATCGCTGGAAAAAAAATTTGACAGCCGCCGAAGCAACTGAATTAGAAATAATTAAATATAAATGGAAAGCTGTCCTTCACCAGCGCACTGCGCGGCGTTGTTTTGAAAAATTTAGCAGAGGTGATACCACGTTGGAAAGGAAGAAAGACTGCAGGGAATAATTAATGGATATTGATGAGGTTCTACAAGAAGTTGTCGAGTCAAATTCGTCCACAATTACTCGCGAACTTGTCAGAAAGTGTATTGTGTCGAAAGATACTGTTAGTCGCCATCTACTCTCCATGGGAAAGGTGAAAAAGAGCAGTAGACTGGTCCATCACGAACTTATTCCTCAGCTAAGAGGTTAGAAATTTGACTGAAAAACCCTTGCCCGAAATACTCCTGCATCATCCACCATATAGTCTAGACCTCACACCATCAGATTACTACTTATTTAGATCCATGACCCATTTTCTTCAAGAGATTTGTTTTTATAATTTTGCAGTAGTTGAAATTGCACTCCAAAAGTTCTTTGACAGCTATATTAAAGAATGGAATCAATATGGGTTCGAGCAATTGGCTAGCAGATGGCTATTGACGGAAGATAATAACAGACTATAATTTGAATATTAATTTTATTTTATATCAAATAA